AAGTGGTGAATAAAATAATTATTAGACTGAAGAGTTGTGCCACCCCCTCGGGGGTGGGATGTTCTTCTGAATGCCATTAGGGGTGGGAGAGGGGACCTCTGCTGCTCAGCTGTCTCTTCCTTGATAAAAGGCTGAGAAAGGGGTTTGCCTCATATGCGATAATGCTTCAGTGTTTTCACTGAAGTCCTAGCAAAGATTTATCCACAGAGTTGGAGATTTAGGGGAGGACAGGGTGGTTATACAGCACTTGGTAATTAAGGAGTTAAAGTAAGTTCCCACGTGTCCTGGTCACGGTTTTCCATTTATAAGGGATCTGACAAGATCTGAGTAGAGAAAATAATCCTTGCACTCCTGTGTCCGTATTAACCAAATTTTCCTTATATTGTAGCTGAGGAGGAGGATGGAATGTGTCCTGGGAGGCAGGTTGTGTTCAGTGAGGTCATGCTGCTTACTCTATGTCCCCTTTAATGTGGGGAATCTAGGCATGCTGCACTGGGGAGAGAAAGACGTATTGCTGGACTTCCCCAGTAACCAACAGGCATGAGCAAGGCCCTGAAGAGTGGAGAGAACCCTGAGCTGTGGTCTGTCTTCTCCATCTCATATGGAGAGAGCTTCCTGCTGCTCGCTGTTGTAACCACAGCTCGGTGCTGCTGTTTGCAGTTTTTCAGTCCCACCGTTTACCTGGCCTGGCTTGTGGCTGAGCTCTGAAGCTGTGAGCACTTCCAGGAAGTTTTCTGCCTTCCCCAGCTGCTTCTGCAACCCCCACTGCGATCTTCTGACTGGGGTGGTCGTCCTGGGGTCCACCCTCCTAATGGTTTTGCCATAGACAGGGGAGAGCTGGTGTAAGCTGGTTTTTCAGGGCAGGCTTGCAGCAGTCATCTTGTGCTAGTCCTGTCATCCTTGGACTCTGCTCCAGCCTGCACTGTGGATGAGCTTGTGGCCGTGAAACTCATCACGCTTGTGGTGGGTCTGAATCTTTTTCTCTAGAAGGGAAGCAGCTTCATCATTATGTTCATCATTATGTTTCCAAATTTAACAGCTTTGCCTTGATTTTCAGTTCAGATAGTATGGTCCTTAGGAGTAAGGAAAGAGCTCACTTTCCAGAGTGATTGTGTCTTATTGGGCTTGTGAACAAGAGCCACAAAATGTCAGTTTAAGACTTTTTCCTTGATTTGTCTGTCACAATCTTTCTGGCTCTGCAGCAGTGTGGTGGGCGGATAAAGAGCTGTTTCTATTCTTGCACCTGCTGCCATACCTGATCAAAGAGATGTTAGTGGGAGAGTTTATTTTTAAAATGTAGTTTTATTTTGTTGAAGTCTTTTTGCCATTGCCTGAGCGGAATATCTTGAAAGTAGAGTGTGACTGTTTACCTGAAATTGAATTTTAAGTTCTTCTGGTTCTCTTCTGGACTTGGCCACATCGCAGATCCACCCCACAGTCAGGATGGGATGTAGAGTTATTTATTGGTGTTACTGGCCAGGACTGTAATGCACAGCCAGCTTTTAGAACACTGGTGTTGAGCTGGTGCCTGTTGATTGCTGTACTTGATAATACAAGATGTGCTTTAGAACCCCTGGTCTTTTGGAGAGTTTACCCCACCAGCAGCAGTGAGTGCGCTCGGCTGATGCTGAGCGTGGGCAGGAGCCAAGCAGGGATCACCCTGGGCCCTCACTGCGAGCTGGTCTGTCACTTGATTTCGGTGGTTGAGCGAGACATTTTTGTAATGTACTGTGGGCAACAGTTAGGTGGTTAGTGAATAAAAGCAGAATAGGTTCATACTGAGACATTTTGGCACAAACTGGTTCCCAGGAAATCGAAGATGATTTACACAAAGGGGAGGCAGTAAAGCACGTGGTAGTGGCTTGTAGCATTTTTAAAAGCATATGCTTCTCTATGGGCTTAATCATGAGTAATTAATATCTTGGGAAGGATCTACCAAAATTTGATGTTTTAATTTCTAGATGATCATTCTTGATCATTTACATTTGATTTAATAATGGATTCCAAAAAAAAGTCTTTCTGTCTTTATGATATTAAATTAATGTTCAGGACTTAGCTAGTGCTTGTTCAGGGGGCTCTAAGCTAAAGCTTTTGCCATGAGATGGAAGCTGGGGATAAGTTTTCCCCTGGTGTGAATGTCAAAGATTTAAAGCACTGTATTGGTTTCATTGTAAACAAAAGGTGTGAAGTCTGCCAGCATCAGTGGGAGGAAGAAAGAAACAGTTCCTTTTTTTTTTTTTTCTTATGTTGACACTTCTGGTCACTGTAAACACCACTGGAGCTTGGTGTTCTGCAGCAGGAAAGAAGAATAAATTCCTCTCTTACCCAAAATCAGGAAGATCTGATGTTGGCCTTGTGGTAATCTCTGGCATTTTGTCAGTGATCGTGGTTTTGCTTGAATACAGAACCCTGAGAAATTTAAAATTGTAACCAGTGCAAAGGAAATGAGAAGCAGCATCCACGTGTGAACAGGGTCTGCTTGAATCTCTTGGAAAAACCCCATCGTTTGTGAGGCAGGTGCTGTGTTCTGTCAATGAGGTTTTCATGACGCCTTCTGATTCTTGTTCACTGTGCACTCTGTAATCCGCTGGCTCCAGATGTTACAAAACGGTTGTGTTGTGGATATTAGTAATATCAGAGCGCTTGAAGCACAGAAATCAAGAACTAATTAAAAAGAGAGCATCATCAGCCATCTGCTATTTATCTCCTCCCTCCTAAGTCAGCAGTCGGGGTGGAGGAGACACTGAAGTCGGCTCTTCTTCCAGCAGCTAATAAACTGGAGTGTGTCTTGCCAAACAAACTTCAACTGAAAAATACTAATTTATTAAGAAGGTAATTTATTTGCTGTGGCAGCTGGAGCAAGATGCTCGAAGCAGACACCCCTCTTGGAGCTGTCAGAGGATTGCCCCTGGGAGCAGCTGCACAAGTGGAGGTTGCTAATAAGAAAACAGAATGCAATCATGACTTTCTACTTGTATCCCCCCGGGGTCAGATTCTGCATAAAGCAACATTGTGTGAATAAAGATTTTAATAAAGCAACATTGATGGATTGTTTAAGTCTCTCTCTCTCTCTCTCCTGTCTCTCTCTCTCTTGTTCCAACATGTGGTGGGCTGAATGTTTGAAGTGTTTTGCTGCTGCTATTTCACATTGACTAATAGTTATCAATGGCATTTATTCCTGTCGTGTATTGCCAAGAATGGGGTCAAATGTGCTGGTGGTTTGCGAGAGCGTTGTTGGTAAGGAAAGATGTGTTTAAGAGTGTCCCAGAGGGATAGAGAAGAAGAACACCCCTGGCTTTAAGTGGTCTTCATACCACTTTGAAAGTGTGTCCCAGGGCCCTGACTCTGCCAGGCACAGAGGCTGGTTTGGTTTGGTTGTGTCCCAGTAGGTTGGCTTTGCTATACAGAGCAGGGATGTATATTGATTTGGCAAGAGATGGACACAGAGTTGGCAGGTTTTCATGGTTGGCTTTCCAAAGCTTTTATTGAAGCCCTTTTACGAGATGGGGCAAGTAAATGGTCATCAAAATCTGTTCCCACAGAGTGCAGGGCTTCAGTCTGGCTGTCTCAGGAGCTTGTTTTCTTAATAAGTGAGTTTTTCAGAGGCCAGAGGTGATGCTCACAGGTCTGAATGTCAGGCATCTGGAAGGCAACTAAGCCACTGAGAGCTGCTCTATACCTCTGAGGTCCATGTGAGCTGCTGCCAGCCCCCATACGGCTCCTGGGGACAGGACACCACAAAACCACCCAGGCACCATGCTGCTCCTGGAAATGGGGGAATGGTCCTTGCCCTGGCCTGCAGCGTCAGCATGGTGGTGGTACACAACCAAAGGCACCTGCTTTAAAAAAAAAAACCCTAGATTTTCTCAGTTGAAACTTTGGACTTCAGCATTGCTGATTTTTTTTAAGAACTGTTTTCTAGGTTTTATTTTGGGAGTTTTGGAGGGGGAGGATGTTCGTGGGGGTTTTTTTTTGTCTCCTAGCATTGTGTGGTGACAATAATTTCTCATATTCTCCATCTCTATTTTTGAGGTGCCAATTTGCTCAGGGAGCAGGACAGGATTCTTGTGTATAAGCAGTTCAACAACTTGTAGAAACTACAGATCCTTTTAAGTTTTGAAAGGCTGAAATAGCTAGTTTTGAGAGCTGTTTTTACAAGTACTTTGTTGTTTTAGTGCTATGTATTTTTGGAGTGGTTTGCCTTAGTAACAGGGTGAGAATTCATATCACTGAGAGATTTTAAAGTGTTTCTGATTATGTAATGAACATAATTTTATAGAAGAATGAACAGAAAAAAACTTTGAGCCAATGGAGAGCCAAAGAGTTTTGAAAAT